CAGCTTGATTACATTGGCCCTCTTCCATCTCAGGAGGGTAGTCCTGGGCAGCAGACACATATTCTGGATAGGGACTTGCCTTCCCTGCCCTTCATCCTACTTCTAGCATTGCTCATGGAATGCTTTGTCCACTTTAATGCACAGCCTGGCATCACATTAAAGAATTCATTTCACAGCAAAGGAAGAGCAGTCATGGGCTTGTGCTCATGGAATTCACCAGCTTTCCCACATATTCTATTACTGGTGTTGATTCTAAAACATTTCACTGGCCCAACCCCGTTCCACTTGGGGTAACACATCCCATGCTTCACACTTTTTTTTTTTTTTTAAATTTTTTTTTTAATGTTTTTTATTTATTTCTAGGAGAGAGAGAGAGAAACAGACAGCATGAGCAGGGGAGGGTCAGAGAGAGAGGGAGTCACAGACTGAAACAGGCTCCAGGCTCTGAGCTGGCAGTCAGCACAGAGCCCGACGCGGGGCTCGAACCCACGAACCGCGAGATCATGACCTAAGCAAAAGTCGGTCGCTCAACCGACTAAGCCACCCAGGCGCCCCCCATGCTTCACACTTTTGTTAATAGCTTCATTTCTTACTAGGTCCCCTGTAACTTTAGGGGGTGAAGTAGACAAGGTGCACTGGGGCCTCCTCTACACAGTTCACAGCCCAGCCCAGGGCCAAGAAACCTTGTAATCCAAGACACAAGCCACTTGGAATCACAGCATGTCTGGTGAAAGCCTTCCCCACCCCCAAAGTGTTTGGTCCAGCTCCCATTTTACTTTATAGTTGGGGACATGAGCCAAGAAAAGGGAAGTGGCTTGCTCCTAGGAACATGGTAGAAAGAGTGACTGCCCTGTCCCTGCCAGCTCCCCACCCAGCCCCAGAAGTGAAGCAAGCTAGGACCTGAGGGGCTTGGCTCCTCTGGAAGGGCCCACAGGGCTGGGCAACCTCTCTGTCCATCCCTGAAGGCAGGGAACCCCAAGGTGCGGCACCAGATCCAGCTGCCTGCCTCTTCTTCCAGCTAGGATCCCTTCCTTCCCTGTTGGTTCCTCTAGTCTCATCCTCCTCAGATGCTGTGATCCCAAGCAGGGCCTCTCCTGGCATTCATTCCCTGCAGTCAATCTCCTGACCTTTGCTGCCCTGTCCTTGGGCTAATACTCCCTCCAACAGTAGCTCCCATCTTCACTGGTCCTCTGCCTGCCCGCCCCTCCCCCCACCCCCCAACCCACCACACACAACAGCAGAAGGGCCCTAGCTGGGCTGGGCTATACCCTGCCACGTTTACACTAGCTCCCCAAGCACTTGCCTCTTCAAGGGTAACTAAGGGTTACCCAGTGGGAGGACAGACCACAAGGGACTCTGATTACTCACCAAGTTTACAGGGGTGCTCAGACTCCCACTGATGGAAAGCTAGGATGTGGATATTCGTGGGGAAGCAGAAACTTGTTGTTCCAGGCTGGTGACAGGTAAAGGCAAGGCTCTGTGCCTGGTTCATGTGTGCGCATTAAGGGGGGCAGTGAGGTCTCCTTGCCTGGGTGGGCAGGATGGGGGTTAGGGAGTAAGTAGTAAGAATAGGGATTGGCAGACAGTGGAGCCAACAGCCTGGCTGATTACAGGGTATGTATTTGCAACCCTATCATTGGGGCTGACAGATGGGCTGGGACATCCACAGACCTGGAGAAACAAGACTGTCAGTGGACACCAAGGGACCCACACAGTGCATCTTGCAGATTGTGAAAAGTACTTTCTTCTTCTTTTTAAATATTTATTTATTTTTGAGAGAGAGAGTGAGAGCGAGAGAGAGAGCAAGAGCACATGTAAGGGAGGGGCAGAGAGAGAGAGAGAGAGAGAGAGAGAGATACGGATTGCCTTGAATCTGTACATTGCTTTGGGTAGTATGGCCATCTTAGCAATATTAAGTCTACCAATCCATTAGCATGGATGTCTTCCCATTTATTTATCTTCTTTAATTTATTTCAGGAATATTTTGTAGTTTTCAATACACATGTTTTTCAGTTCCTTGCCTAAGCTTATTTCCAGGTAATTTAACATTTTGTGGAAACTATCATAAATAGAATTATTACCTTAATGTTCTTTTAAAATCATTCATTGATGGTGTAGAGATACACAACTGATTTTTGTGTGTTTATCTTATACATCCTGACTTTTCTTAAAAGTTTATTTATTTTGAGAGAGAGAGAGAGCATGTGCAAGCAGGGGAGGGGCAGAGAGAGAGAGAGAGAGGGAGGGAGGGAGGGAGAGAGAGAATCCCAAGTAGGCTCCATGCTGTCAGGCTGGAGCCCAATGAGGGGCTGCATCTCACAAATTGGGAGATCATGACCTGAGCCAAAATCAAGAGTCGGGCCCTTAACCAACTAAGCCACCCAGGTACCCCTAAACCCTGATGTTTTGGGGCTTAAATAGTATATATTATTTGAAGACTTGCTTTTTGTGCTAAACATTTATTAGAATTGTCTATGATGATACGCACGACTAATACATTTGTTTTTCTCTGTTGCATGGTATTTTACATATGAAGATACTACAGTTTATTTCTTCTCTTAGTAATGACAAGTCAAGCTATTTTAGTCTTTTACTATTCAAGCAGGGCTGCTCTGCACATACCCAGGGAATGGTTCTCACCTGGGACTGTACATTAGAGTCATCTGGAGTATAAGCTTTTTGTCATTACCAGCAACAAGGCCCCACCTCCAGAGATCTGTTGATTTGGAGTAGGGTTTGGTAGTAGCAGTTTTTAGAAGATCCTTAGATGGTTCTAATGTTCAGTCTGGTTCAGTGGTTCATAGACTGAACCACTATTCTAGAGCATATACCTAGGAGTGGGATTCCTGGGAGTGTACGTTTTCAGTTTGATTTGATGGAAAATTGTTGCCAACTGTACAGTACAACCAAGCCATACCACCCTCAGTAGCATATAGATCCCATTACTCCACATCCCTACCAACCCATGACACTGTCAGATTTTAAATTTTTGCCAGTTGATCTCTCATGTGATCTTAACTTGTATTTCCCTGATTACTGACGAGATTGAGCACCTTTATATATTTATTGACCATTCTTGTTTCTCTTTTGTCAGATGCCTATTCCCTTATCTATGCATTTGTACATTCTGCAGAGAAATCCTTTGGTTGCAAATACCTCCTTCCAGTTTGTGGCTTCCCCTGCCATTTTATTACAAGGTTCTGATTAACAGAAGTTTGTCATTTTAGGGGTGCCTGGGTGGCTCAGTCAGTTAAGCGTCAGACTTTGGCTCAGGTCATGATCTTCTGGTGTGTGAGTTTGAGCCCCATGTCGGGCTCATTGCTGACAGTTCAGAGCCTAAAGCCTGCTTCAGATTCTGTGTCTTCCTTTCTCTCTGTCCCTCTCCAGCTTGCTCTCTCTCTCTCTCTCTCAAAAATAAACATTAACATTTTTTTTAGAAGTTTATCGTTTTATTATAGATGCGTTTTTCAATGTTTCCCTTTATGTTTTTACATAGTAAAAAAATCTCTCCTGACCTTGAAGTAAATGCGACAGTCTTTTATATTTCTCTCTAAAAATATTTAGAGTATTACTTTTCATATTTAGATCTTTAATTCACACAGAATTGATTTTTTTTTTGTGTACGATGCTCAGGAGAGGTCCAATTTCATTTCTTTTCCGTATGGTTAACTCACTTTCTTAGCACAATTTGCCAAACAGTCCATTATACTGCCTCTCACACTCCACAGCTGCAGCGCTCCCTCTAACATAGCCACATTTACATGTGGAGGCCAGTTTCTGGCTTCTCAGTTGGATGCCATTTGTCTGTCTTTCAACTTATATCCTTACATCGGACTGTCTTATTCTCTCCATCTTATTCTTCAGGAGCATCTTGACAGTTCATTGGTGATTATACAGAGGTTCACTATAAAATTCTTTCATTTTTTTCTGTATGTTTGAAAATTTTTTAAATAAAATATTGGGGGGAAGAGTGTTGTGGCTTATCTGGCCTTTGCCCTTTAATTGGGATACAATTTTTATAAAAAATTTATTTATTTATATTTGAGAGAGAGAGAAAGAGACAGAGAATCCCAAGCAGGCTCTGTGTGCCAGCGCAGAGCCCGACATGGAACTGGGATTCACGAACCATGAGATCACACCTGAGCCAAAATCAAGAGTCGGAAGCTCAACAGACTGAGCCACCCAGGCGCTCCAGGATACAATTTTTAAAAGGTTCAGGTTTCAGATGAGGTGGTTCCCAGAAGCCACAACCTTTTGGAGAAAAGGATGAGTTTTAGGACAATGTGCGGACCTTTCACATTCCTGTAGGCATCAGAAATTGTTAGAGATGAGACAGTGCTGTTCTAATATTGTGCCCATTTCACTACCCAGGAAAGTGACCTGCCTGAAGACCCAGCCTGTGGGCCCCCCTAAGGAGCTGTGTCTGGCCTACTTTGTCTAGGCAAGCACCCCCAGCCCTTCTCTCAGGCCCTCCAAGACCCTTGCCTCAATCTCCCCCATCTGCTTCCCACGCCAGTCTCTGGCTCTTTCTCCTGGAGCTAGGTCTGGCGGAAAGATAGAAGCCCAGGAAGGAGGGGGGTGTGACTTGACCAAGGCCACACCTTATGACCTATGACTGTGACCCTAGGGCTGTCGCACAGCAAGGGCCAGCCAGCCTCCAGGCCATCACACATCCCTTGTTCCTGCCCTTCTGGAGCCCCCCCTGTGGCCAACTATCTCCCTCGGTCTTTCCTGCTCGGTCTCTCGGCCAGTCTGACAAGCGGTGACTGCCAACTCTGACTTCCCACTTCCGCAGACCTCTACCCGGGCTCCGCCCCATTCCAGCCTCTGAGGCCGCCGGCGTCAAAGTTCTCCGCAGCCACTAGGGGGTGCGCGCGGCCCAGTCTGGGCGCTGGAGTCGCCGAACCCCTCCCCATCCTGGCGCCCCGCCCCGTCCGGCCCCGGCCCCGCCCCTCCCGGCGTCCCGCCCCGTCCCGCCGCGGCCTAGTTCCTTCGGCTCCCCAACCCCCCGTCCCTCCCCCCGCGCCTCGGACCCCCCCCTCCCCCCCAGCTCCCGTCTTGTCTGCTCGCCGGGTCTGGCCATGGGCTCCGCCGCTCGCCCAGCGCGGAGGTCGCCCCCGCCGCCGCCTCCGCCGCCGCCATCGCCGCTGCTGCTGCTGCTGCCCCTGCTGCCGCTCTGGCTGGGCCTGGCAGGACCCGGGGCCGCGGCAGACGGCAGCGAGCCTGCGGCCAGGGCGGGGCGGGGCGGGGCCCGCGCCGTGAGAGTGGACGTGAGGCTGCCGCGACAGGACGCTCTGATCCTGGAGGGCGTCAGGATTGGCCCCGAAGCCGACCCAGCACCCACGCTGGGCGGTCGACTGCTGCTGGTGAGCGCAGCCGAGCCATCTGGCTCCGCACCCAGGTCCGGCCTTCATCCTGGACCAAGCCCTAGTAGCCCAGGGCCCTCTCCCCAGGCTTCCCAGGCCCCAGATTCCGGCTTCCAAATCCTGAGATCCAGAGGCTGTCCCCTTAAACTCGCTTCCAAATCCTGTCCTTGAATCCTCTGTGTGTCCGACTCCTCTTCTTCCCCCTCCTCCCTCTGCTCATGGTCCCCTGCCCCGCAGATGGACATCGTGGATGCTGAGCAGGAGGTGCCGGTAGAAGGCTGGATTGCAGTGGCATATGTGGGCAAGGAGCAGGCGGCTCAGTTCCACCAGGAGAGTCAGGGCAGCGGCCCACAAGCCTATCCTAAGGCCCTGGTCCAGCAGGTGCAGGGGGTGTATGTGGGAAAGGGGGCTGGAGGAAGGGGTTTCAAGGCATCTGCTAGAGCCAGACTACTATGTGAGCCCCTAAGGAGCTTCCAGAGAAACCCTGGGCCTGGGTGAGGCAGGGGTCCCCAGTTTGTAGAACTGAGTCAGTCCGGAGTGGAAGCAGGGAGGTGGGAGGTGGCCACAGAGAGTCAGGAAGCTTCACAGGCTCAGAGTATCAGATGGGGAGGTTCCTGCCGAGGGTCTGGGGGCAGGCCTGTCCTGCTAGGACCAAGGAAGGCACAGAATCATTTGGGTCCCACAGAGCATCTGGGGGAATGGCAGGAAGAATAAGACTTTCTGCCCTTGACCTCAAAGAGTGTACAGCCAGTCTGTCCAGAGGAAACACCTGTTACAGAGCCAGGAGCTAAGAACCGTGTCGTGGGTGGTGAGGCAGGTGTGTGGGCAGGGTGCCTGCCAGCTTCTGCCTCTGTCCCCCTGCAGATGCGGAGGGCGCTCTTCCTGGGAGCCTCTGCCCTGCTCCTTCTCATCTTGAACCACAACGTGGTCCGAGAGGTAAACCTGTTCAGGCAGTGGGGGTGTGCAGGCCAGGGAAGAGGGGGGCAAAACCAGCTGACCTTCTTGTTCATTAACAGCTAGACATATCGCAGCTTCTGCTCAGACCAGTGATTGTCCTCCATTATTCTTCCAATGTCACCAAGCTACTGGAGGCACTGCTGCAGTAAGTTGGGGTTTGGGTTTCAAAGGACTGGGCCTGGGAGTCTGGGTCCTGAGAGGCCCTGAATCTGCCATGGTCTCAGGGGTCTCGGGATCAGGGCTTTTCCTGTTAACCTCAAAGCTATAGTCTCTTGGTCTGAAAAATGGGTGAGGGGATTGGAAGAAGGTGCCAGGGCCTGGAGCAAAGAGATAGCTCTAGGGACAGAGAATTGGCTCCAGCAAGGAGGAAATTGGATTCCTGATTGACAGGTTCTTTCTGGGACTTGCAGGCCTCCCTGGCCTGGCTGATAGAACTGGAAAAACCAATAGCCAGGAAGGGCCTGGGGGCCAAAGCAGAAGGGCTGTGGGAGGATACTTGGGGTATCCTTTTTCCTACAAGGCTGGGGTGGATGGGTCTGGTCCCTGTGGCTTTCCCTCCCAGGAGGACCCAGGCCACAGCTGAGATCACCAGTGGAGAGTCCCTGTCAGCCAATATCGAGTGGAAGCTGACCCTGTGGACCACCTGTGGCCTCTCCAAGGATGTCTACGGAGGATGGCAGGACTTGGTGTGCCTGGGAGGCAGTCGGGCCCAGGAGCAGGTGGGTGCCTGGGGGGAGGAGGCTCAGGTGGGGCCACACACATGCATTGTCTCAGATCCTGTGGCCTCTCCTTGCCTGGATGGCCAGGACCACTTCTTCCACCTGCCAGGGCTGAAATAAGTCTTCACTGACGTGGTGAGTGCTCAGTGCAGTGCCTTACTGGGCTCATGCACAGTGTCAGCTGCTATTGTCATGTTATTCTCTCACCCAGAAGCCCTCTTAGGCTGCCCATTGCCTGCAGAATAAAGCTCAGGCTCCTTAGTCTGGCTTTCACAGCTCTCCTAATTACTCACCTATCCTTTCTTTCCTAGCTTTCTCTTTGTATTCTGCACCTTGTGCTATTTTCTGGCCTTTGCACACACTCCACTGGGCCTTGTCCATGCCTGCTCTTTTTCTCTGTCTCCGTATGTCCCCGTCTGCCTGCTTTCTTTGGAAAGCTTCCCTCCCAACCTCAGCTCACTGTTCCCCTCTTCCAAATCACAGCAGTGCTTTGTCAGACCCTTCACAGGGTTCTTAGGACAGGCCATCCTGTATATGTGTTGGGGAATGGGTGTCTCCTGAAGGCTGGGGCTATGTCTTACTTGTCTCTGGATTTCTCAATGCTGGGCATTAAAGGGTTCAAAGATACTCCATCCACAAGCATTTATTGAGTCCCTACTCTGAAGGGCAGGCATGTCCTGGTCTCCTGGTGGGCAGCCTCTGGTAGGTGTTGGTGGATGTGGACCATGCAGGGCAGCTTTAAGTGAGGCAGACTTGCAACTTTAGCTGAGTGATCTCAGGCTGTATGTTTAACTTTTCTGGTCTCATTCCCTTGCTTGTGAACCAAGGCCAGCACAAGCCATAGGGTTGTCAGGGGCTCGTGTACATAAAGCTCACAGTGGGCAGGGAGCAGAGGGACAGGTGCTGCTATTCTGAATATCTTCATTGTTAGAAGTTCTTGAATAAGTTAGCAGTCATCAGCAGATAACTTTTGAGATCCTACGACCCTTAGGCCTCCATGGGAAGGGCTGTGAAGGGTCCAAAAGACCTGTGACACCCGGGCTCTGTCCTGAAGGGCTCAAAGACAAGCAGGGAAGATCTCTCACATGAAAAGGCCTCCTCAGTTCAGCCCAGCTTGTACTAATTCCTGTTTGAGCAGCAGGAACTGAACCACAGTCCTGTGAAGGGAAGGAGCGGCCACTGGAACTAGGGGAATGGAAGGGCTTTCTGGAAGAAAAGGGAGCCCCACCATATTTCCCCCTGGAAGGCAGCCCACACAGACCTCTGGGTGGGGCAGGCCTCTGGTGAGGGGCTGTTAGAGGAGAGGAAGTACATGCAGAAAGGCTGGAGATAGGGAAGGGGCAGGCTGGGCAAGGGGCCCCGAGGTGGGAATGTACACAGTCTTCAGATCAGCGTGGCTGGTACAGAGGGCAAAGCTGAATAGCCACGTTGCTGGCCAGGGTGGGCCCATACAATTGTTGGCTAGCCATGATAGCGGAGGTATCTTAAGGGTGGCTGGAGCCAGCTCTCAGCCCCAACCCCAGGGCCTAGTCGCCATCCTTCCAGCCTCAAAATCCAGAGCTACAGAACCCGTGTATCAGAAAGGTCAGATGAACCACTCCCTTACTGCTCGGATGGACAGATCCTGGCCTTCCCTCCTCACCTGTGGGTCCCTAGAATGTGCTGGGCCTGGGGAAGCTGGTCTCCAGCCTGCATCAGAGCTCCAAGGTGGTCATGCCCTCCACTCACACAGTGCTCACAGGCTGCTCCAAGACATGGAGCTCCGGGTTCTGCCATGGAGAGCTTACACTGCAGTGGCCACTGAGCCCTGCCATGTGTCAGCCTGGCTCAGCAGGGCAGCTCCAGCCCTGGGCTCATGGGGCCCCACCTGGGGAGGAGATAGGCCATGGCCGTCACTCTGCTGGGTTGAACACTGGAGCTGGTGGTGGGCATGGGCCCTCTGGGGCACAGCAAATGCCATCTGAGCTCAGCCTAGAGGGTTGGGGAGAGCTTCCTGGAGCAGGTTTACAAGGGAGACAGAGACTAGAGGGAAGAGGGTGATGAACAGAAAGCTGGGGCTCACTGACATCTCTTGATAATGGTTTCTCAGGTACCACCGCTGAGCAAGATTAACATCTTGTGACACTAGTAGGACCCAGCCTTGTCCTGAGTTGTAGCGAATCATTTCTTATCCTCTCTCCCAAGATGATGATGGACTTCATTGTTGGCTGAGGAAGAACATGATGGCAGAAAGCTACTAGGAATGCACAACACTTTTAAATGAATGCATTCATTAGTGCTAACACATCCAAAGACCCTGTGAAACGGTGGGCCTGTGTGGGTGAGCTGGCTGGATTTTGCTTACTCTGCCACATCATTTCCTGAGCCAGCTGTTTGGTAGTCAAAGTCCAGTTGCTATATTGTTGTGGGGGGAGTTAAGTCAAGGTCATTGCATGCCCCCACCCCAGAACTCTGAGGCCCTCAGGGGCCTCACGAAGGCTGAGGCAGATCAGATATGGTTCCCTCCTGCCAGTGGGAGTCTGAAGACCACCAACGGCAGCGCCAAGGAAGCACACAGTAGAGAGTGTGAGGAGGGCTGGGCTGGGCAGGGGGAGGCAAGTGGGAGCATTTGCTTAGCCCTGGAGGTCAGGGAGAGCTCTGGAGCAAGGGGCTTCCAAAGGCATTAGCCAGGGGAAGGGGTGAGGAAGAACTGGGAACATAAGGAGCAAGGAGCAGAGTGGGTGGGAGATCTAGGGCCTTGCTAGAGGGCTGCTAGAGAAGTTTTCTTCAGAGGGTGGGGGCATTGCAGGGAGGAGTGTCCAGCAGGGGTCCTGTATGACCAGGTTTGCAGGTAAGATCCTTGTGACTGTGGGAAGTGGGCTAGTGAGGCTGGAGCAGGTCACACAAAGAGTGAAGGGGTGGGATGGAAGGAAGGGATGCATGAGACCCCTAAGCGTGAAGCCACAGGGGACCATGTGAATGCTCTGCCCACACGGAAGTGGGTAAGTGATGGCACCCAAGGAAGTAGACCAGGAGAAGTATAGGTTAGGGATGGGGATGGGAAGGTGAGCTGGAGAGGGGCTGGGGAGTGTGTACGGCTGCCAGAGAGAAGCTTCCAAGTATGCAGAACGTACTGAGTTTGTTGCCCAAGAGAGGCCTGGGCTGGGGACACATGTGGGTCCCCTCAGCAGCTGGACGAAGAGTTGTGTAGACAGCCAAGGCAGACCCTGGGAGCACACAGATGGGAGGGACAGAGGCTTCCAAAGAGGCAGCCAGGAGCCTGCAGGGACACAGTACCAACAGACCTTACCGGCCTGGCCCTCGAAGTGGATTTACTGTGGGAAGAGTGTGGAGTGGCCCCAAGATCCCTGACACCCTGATCTCCTCCCCAGAAGCCCCTGCAGCAGCTGTGGAACGCCATCCTGCTGGTGGCCATGCTCCTGTGCACAGGCCTTGTGGTCCAGGCCCAGCGGCAGGCATCAAGGCAGAGCCAGCGGGAGCCCGGAGGCCAGGTGAGAGCCAGCTCCTGGGAGCCCCAGTGCCCCCAGCCCTCCAGCCTACCCTCTAACTGTGCCTGCCCTCCCCCAACAGGTGGATCTGTTCAAGCGCCGTGTGGTGCGGAGACTGGCATCACTCAAGACCAGGCGCTGCCGTCTGGGCAGGGCAGCACAGGGGCCCCCAGAGCCTGGTGCTGAGACCTGCGCTGTGTGTTTGGACTACTTCTGCAACAAGCAGGTTAGTGCCCTGGGCAGAGGCCAGCCATCAGCTGACCCATAATGTCTCTCACTCTACTCCCGAGAGACCCAGAACCATTCTGACCAGGCCCTTACCCTCCCAGTCCCCACTATAACTAGGAAAGCAGAATGAGGGGGGATGGGGATAGGCCACAGGACTTTCATTTTCCCAGCTCAGTTAGGGGCCAGGCTCCCCACTTGGAGGCTTGACCTTTGGGGCCTGAATCCTTGCCTCTCACCCTGCAGTGGCTCCGGGTGCTACCCTGTAAACATGAGTTTCACCGAGACTGTGTGGACCCCTGGCTGATGCTCCAGCAGACTTGCCCGCTGTGCAAATTCAACGTCCTGGGTAAGCACCAAGGGTGGGAGCCCTTGGCTGGACGTATACCTGCTTCCCGCCTGACCCTTCCCTCCCTGTTTTTTCCTCCTTCCCTGCAGGGAACCGCTACTCAGATGATTAGCTGCCACAGCTGGGTCTCTGCACATGGGCAAGGGACCCTCCTGCCTTCACCCTGGCCCTAGGCCTGGGCTCGTGGAACAGAATAGCAGATGGATAGGAAGCTCTGCCGGTGGGAGGAAGGATAGGGGCCTCCCCTGCTAGGGGGCAAGGTGCCCCATCATATTCATACTGGGAAGGAGGGACCACAGCCCCCAGTTAAGGATGCAGGGTCTGGACCTGCCAGTCAAGAGGGAAAAGCCACTTTGGGGCCCTTCTCTGCCATCCTGGGGTGTCTGTGCCTGCCCTCCCCACAGGCAACCCCCATGACCTGGGATGGGGACCCTGGGAAAGAGGGTGTGGGGCGGTACAGCTGTTCCCAGGGCTCTGGCATCTCTCTGACCTGCCGGTCCGGGCATCCCTGGGGGCTGAGGCTGCAGTGGCTGGCCCGGCTTTGTGCTTATTTATTGGGGTTTGGATTGCGGGAGGAGCTGCTGGCCTTGGGGACACCCTGGCCTGACCGCCTTTCAGGACACATCTTGGTCAAGGCTGTGATGGTCAACCCAGAGGCCCCTCCGCTGATACTGCCCTCAGCCCTTGAACACTGGGAGGTGTGAGTGCTACCGCCTGTCCGGCTGGGCTCCCTTCCAGGCCTGGCTGGGACCAGAGGCCTCAGGAGCCATCCAGTCCTGTGCTTCTTAGCTGGGCTACACGTGGCTGACCAGGATACTTGAAGCTGCAGGATAAATGTGGTGCATCTTTTAGGGGCAGCCGGTTTTTTTAGATTTGGGGTAGGAGAGGTTTAATAATGAAGTAAACATGGATATATTTTAACATAAGCTACCAGATTCGTGTGGATGTTTTAAGACAGAAAAGTCACTTTGGGCTCTATTGCATGGGAGGTGGATTCTAAGATGGGCCCCACGATCTCCCAGCCCTTCTGAACATGCCCTGTTATAAACCTGCAACTGTGAGTCTATTGGATTTAACTCTCATGATTAGGTTTTGTTATATGGCACAGTTGACCTTAAGATAGGGAAAATATCCAAGAGGGCCTAATCTAACACAAAAGCCTATTAGAAGCAGAGAGTTTTCTCTGGTTAGTGGAAGAAGAGGAAGTCAAAAAGTTGAAGCAGGAAGGCCATTCAATGCATGAGAAATTCTCTGTTGCTGACTTAAAGATGGAGGGGGCCACTTGGCAAGGAAGGCAGATAGCCTTTAAGAGCTGTGTGTGGCCCCGGCTGCCAGTGGCCAGCAAAGAAGTGGACCTCAGTCCTATAGCTTCAAGAATGTGAATTCCGCCAACAATCAGAATGAGCCTGGGAAAGGGCTTCTTTCCCAGAGCTGTTGGAGGAATGTAACTTGGCAGATACTTTGATGTGAGTCTTTTAAGATCCTGAACAGAGAAGCCAGTCACAGAGCCTGCCTACTAGACTTCCAACCTACAGAACTGTAAGCAGAGGGGGGCTGAGCTGTGATGGGTCCTCCCCTCCCCCTGGATTTGGGCCCATGCCTCCTGCCTCAGGGACCCCATCCCAAGGGCTGGATCTCTCCTGTGAGGGGCAGTGCCAGGGCACCCCGGCCTCCCTCAGGTATGCCATGTTCCACAGAAGCAAGGGTTGGGCAGACAGTGGCCATGCCAGCCCAGCTATACACATGGCCCCTCTTGACCCTTCTCTGTAAATTGAGGCACACTACCTCCTGGCCTCCTCACCAGGAGAATGTCATAGGAAGCTGGGAGTGCCTACCGTGAGAAGTCCTCAGCAAGGCCTTAGAGCTTATCCTTCACTGATGAGGTGATTCAAGGCAGGCTGGAGGCTTCATGAGGAAAGCTGGACGGTGGGCCTGGCGTGGTTGGTGGCATCGGTGCCTGGGCCCCAAGAGACAGGCCTGGGAAAGCCAAGGCTTGCTGGGTGTCTGGTTAGGTAAGGCCCTGCCCTGCCTTCTAGGAATCCAACCTCCTGGATTTAGAAAACCCCTTGTGACTCACATTTCTTGAAGGTGAACAGTTTCTCAGTAAAAGGAGGACTGCCTTTCTTGGGTCCTTAATGTGCTCATCCCAGGTTCAGAGCTGGGGCAAGAGGCCTCAGGCCCAAAGCCCAGCCTGGGGCTGGGGAAGGCTTCCCTGCCCTCTGCCTGCCTCTGTGAGCCCAGAGCCAGGACCCTGTTCTCTGACGCCTTTCTGCCTCATACACCCTCACTGGGCCTACCTTGGGAGCTGCTCTCCTTCCCTGACACACCCCCTACCCTGACCCTGCTCTTCACTGGTAGGGGTCACTGAGTCCACATCACCCTTTTGCCCTTGCTGTAGGCCTTTCACCTGGCCCAGGTGCTAGAGCTGCTTTCGGTTCTTGGTGTGCCCTCTTCTCCCACTGCCCTGTCAGGACGGAGGCAGGTAGTGCCCATTTACTGAAGGTCCACAGTGTGCTAGGCTTCTGCTGGCAGGTGACTTGCATGACTGGGGACTAGGTGGTCCCTGCCCAGAATGGGGAAGGAAGGACTCTTCCCCTGGCTGAGCCAGGGCTGTGAGGTCAAGGTTGCTGTAGGCAGATGGCCAGGGTTTTATTACATTGAGAGGGTTGCCAGACATCTGCCCTCTAGCCCCACCCCACAGCAGGCTACATGGGCCGCTCCTGGGGCTGATATGCAGGGCTGGCCTGGCCTTGGCCTGGTGACAGTCTTCTCCTCAGCCTGGCCAAGGCCCGGATGGGGTTCTGAGCGCAGTTGGTCGAGTGGGTCATGTCCTTGCTCGGTCGGCTGCAGGGCTGCTGAGGTGGGGATGCCCGGAGCTGGCACGGTGGGGTCCTGCCTGTACTGGCTGTCCTGCTGCTAGGCAGATGCTGCCTGCCCAGGGGCCTGAAGGAGGACCAGATGGCAAGATCCCCTGTGAGTGAGGGGACCAGCCCACCCATCTGCCCCACCTCTGGCAAAGCCTTACTCACCCTGGAGATGTGTTCTGGGCCTGGGCTGGGGGCGCTGTTCCATGGATGCCCTTGCTGGGAGGGGCCCAGAGCTGGTCCTGTGGGATCAGCTGCAAAAAAAGCCAATATCAGAAAGGCCCAGGGGCACCTGGGTGGCTCAGTCGGTTAAGCGTCCGACTCCAGCTCAGGTCATGATCTCATGGTTCGTGGGTTTGAGCCCTGTGTTGGGCTCTGTGCTAACAGCTAGCTCAGAGCCTGGAGCCTGCTTCACATTCTCTATCTCCCTCTCTCTCTGACCCTCCCCTGTTCATGCTGTCTCTCAGAAATTTAAAAAAAAAAAAAAAAATTAAAAAACTAAAAAAAAAAAAGAAAGGCCCAGGAAATTCTCTGTACTGTTCAGAGAGGGTATCATCACCATGGAGGAGAGGAAGGGCCCAACCCTGTTGCCACACCCCTTCCTCTGAGGGGCAGGGTTTGGGAAGCCTTCCAGGGCTACCCCAGCTGCATTAAGTGTGGGAAGTTTTGCCTTCTGACAGGGCTCCTGGTTGCACTTGAAATAAAGGTGCCAAGGACTGGAGGGGAGAGTTTGGAGTTGGCAGGCACTGTCACAGTCTCATGCCTGCTTGAAACCTATAAGCCACATGTGATGAGGCAGGCTTTCAACAGGTTCCCAGGATGGGGTCTGAAGACCTGCTGGTCAGGTGCCTCCTCCAAGTCCCCAAGGGCCATCCCTCTCCAGTTGGGGAGCCAGGCTGCCCACCTTGAGGCTCCCCTGCTGGGCTACCTCCCGAATTTTGGACAGCATAGACCGGAGCCGCCCATTCTCCTCCTGCAGGACCCGGATGCGGATGTCATTGGCCTGTACCTGCTTCTCTATGTCGTCTGTAACATTGCCGGAGCCTGTGGGGACAAACTCTCTGGTACCTCACCCCACCTCGTGGAACAGGACCTCAGAGGGCACACATGCCAGCTGAGGTATGGCTTGGGTTGGTGGTGGCCTGGCAAGCACAGGTGAGCTGAGCAGTCAGTGTACCGAGCCTCCCGCTTCATCTTCCCTCTGAGGCCTTGTCTCTGCTTCCCACCCCCTACTTGCTGGGAGGTGACTGCAGCATTGTGGAATCTGAGGGCTGGGTGGGACCTTGAGCTCACTGAAGACTTTGTGAAGTGACTCTCTGCCAAAGCTGCCTGTTTTCAGAGGGCCAGAGAGACAGTGAGCTGTCCAAAGTCACACAGCCAGCTCGAGTATGAGTCACAGGAATTCAGCAAAAGACGTTCTTTCCCACGATTTGGGGGATGGAAGTTTCTTCTCTGACTCTATGAAGTCATGACTGAACTGAGCAAGTTGCTGCCTGCTGTGGTTCTTGGTTTTGTGGTTTGTAAAAGGGCGCTTATCCACCTTGTGGGGCAGATGAAGGGACAGTGGAAGAGCCCGGAAAGCAGTGCTCAGGACTGATGATGACTTATCATGAGCAGCTAAATTGTGGATCTTCCTGGCACCTCTCCAAGTGGCTTCACCCCTGGGGTGAGGGCTAGAGGGGCTGGAATGAGAACCCAGGTTGCCTGGCATCCAATCCTCTGCTAAGACGGGTAATTAGCACTCCTGTGCCATGGGCTGCATGACACTGGACAACTGGGGCTGTGGCCCTGGAGCTAGCCCTGTGGTGTGGTTTGGGGAGACACTAGGCTGGGGGACATGAGGAAGTTGAGTAAGGACTGGCATGTGATATGGTAAAGAACACAGGCAGCAGTGTTAGACCTGTACTTCGACTCAGCTGTGTGACAGTGCCCAGTCACCTCACCTCTGGGCTTTGTGTCCCCGTCTACACAGAGTAGAAATACATGATGCACTGTGTGTCCTGGGAGCTCTGCAGGCTGGTGAGTTGCAGACCCCAGTGTCTTGTCCAGGGAAACCCTCAGCTGCCTGTCCGGGCCCTGATGTGCTCTTGCCACCACCTCTGGTCCCTACTTGGGATCTGGGCCTCGACGGGTGTGTGCAGGTCTGGGAAGGCCACCAGCAGCCGCTCCCGCTCCCTCAGCTCCACGAGCTCCCTTTCCATCTCCGATATGGTCAGCTGCAGATCGGTCGTGGACTGCTCCAGGCCTTGCTTTTCCTGCTGCAGGCTCTGCAGTAGCTCCTGGGGGTGGGGAAGGCTCGTCTTGTCCAAGGAATGGCTCCCGACTCCTCTGGGGACACCCCATCCCTTCCAGACACGAGACGGGCCCACAGGCACTCAGCTGGCTGGAGGCCCCTCTGGTCAAAGGGAAGAGCCGTCCCATACCCTTGCTCTGCCCGCTCCCACCTGCTGGGCCAGGAGCTGGCTCTGCCCCTGCTCCCTCTCGCTCCGTACACTCTGCAGCTGCTCCTCCACATGGGCTCGCTGGGCCTCGGCCTCATCCAGGCTGCCCCGCAACTCCTCACGCTCCTGGTCCAGGCTGTCTAGTTGCTGCAGCAGGGCTCGCTGTTTGGACTGCAGGGACTGAGCCGGGGTGGGCAGGCAGGGAGGCTATGAGGCCCACAGGGCAAGGCCCAGCCACGTGGGACAAAGGAGGTTACAGTATCTTTGACCCTCCAAACCCTCCCCTTTGTGCCCTGCCTGTGTACAGGGGAGGCTGTGCATATGCATGCAGCAGAAGGGGCATAGCAAAGACAGCTGTATACCCTAATGTATACCCCCAGGCCAGTCAGGGCCAAGCCCTCCAACCTGAAGACCCCTGCCCTTTTGTAAAGCAGTTGGCCAATTATCAGTCTCGCCCCCTTCTTTACAGTTACAGTCTACACTAGGAGAGGCATTCTGGGCAATACACTTTTCTTCTTCTTAGGTCTTCAGTGTCCCATCAGCCCATGTCAGTTGGGACCCACATTTCCTAATACACACTGAGTATTAAGCAGGAAGAACCAAAGCTGGTCTGTTCTGAGTCCTGGCTCTACCTCTGGCTAGCTGTGCAGCTTTGGCAATTTCATTAATCTCACTGTGACTATTTCTTCATCCATAAAATAGGGATGGCAAGAGTATCTGCCTCCTTCTGTTGTGATGAGAAACAAGAACAAGAGGGCTACAGAGGCGGAAGCCTAGCACCTGGTTCACTGCACACATCTGATACACAGTGACCATAACTCTTTGCAGGGCACTGAGAAAAGCATCCACTTGGAGCTGAAAGGCTTTCCTATACTGGGCCATGACTGATGCTGGGAACTTCCACCTGAGGTCTTGGCTTCCCAAATGAGGCTCTGAGACTAAGACCAGTCAGGACAGTCCCCAGACCTATCCCCTTCTCTAGGTGGCAGGTTACTTGCTCCCTCAGCCATACTCTTGAGGGTTCCTGCAAGGCTACAATGCCAAGGGCACAGATGTATCCTGGGCTTCGGCTCGCCCTTTGGCCTCCCTATCCTTCCTCTGACTGATGGACCAATCACCAGCCCTTGGCATCCAGTTTAAAGGCCACTTCCTCCCAGAAATCATTCTGGATTCCCATAAGCAGATGTGCTTGTCCCTCTCTAGACTTCTAAAGTGCTTTTCCTACCCCTGTTAGCCATCTGGCACTAGAGCTATGGTGGCCCAACTGCCTGTCTGCTGGGTGGGGAGCTCCTCTGGAACAAGGCCTCCTTTGGCTGTATCTGTTCCTGGGTCACTGTTTCCCCGGGGCCCGGGGCTCAGGGGAGGGCTCAGGCTCTTGGTAAAAATCAAACAAAATCCTGGGTGTGTGCTGGGGAGCAGGTACCCTACATGGATAACCCCCCAGACCCCACCAGTGCAGCTCTCTTTTCATGCAGCCCACATTGCAGATACCCCCAGGTGCTGGGGTCCTTACCTCCTGGTGGCGGACCATGCTGTCAACTCGGGCCTTCTCCTTGTCCAGCTCTGTGCTGGCCCAGCGGATCTGCTGGCTGGCCCCATCCAGCCGCCCTGCCAGCAGCTGCACCTGCTCCTCCAGCTGGTGCACCTGCCTCTCAGCCTCTGCCCTATGCTCGGCCTCCTCTTGAAGCTGCCGGGCCTTGGTCTCTGCAGGATTGGGTGGGCATGGGAAGGGGTAGGGCAGGGAAGTCTGGGTGCAAGTCCTTGTGCCTCTGACCCAGGATGGGAACTGAGGTGGGGTGCGAGGGATCATAGCCCATCTCTGGGCTTTAGTGTCCTCAGCCACAAATGGGGCCCTGAACACTGCCTGAAGTGGGTTGTGAAAATAGAAGGTGCTCTCGGGGTGGGAGGTGGCACACCCAACAGTGTGTCCAGTCAGGCCCACTCTCCTTGTGGTTCCCTTTCTCTGCCCCAGAAGCCCAGGGGACAGAGATGGAGGGTGCTCATCCTGCTGTACCACCGAGCACAGGGCATGGGGTTGGGGGCCACACAATGGCATTCCTCACCCACAGCCTGCATGGACTCCTGTTGCTCCTTCAGCTTCCCCTCCAGGGTGGCCACTTTCACCTTGAGGTCACTTGTTTCTATGGCAGCCAAGAGAGGGAGGGCGGGGGGGGTCTTTCAGAGGCTCTCTTGGGCCTGGCCAGTGCCTTCACACCCAGTATACCCTGCAAAGTGGTGGCAGCTATTGCTGTGTGGAAGGGCTCCCTGGACTTGTAGAAGCTCTAGGGAGATGCCAGGAGGTCTGGCTCCCCATTTACCCTGCTTCCTACTGGCTGGCTGCCATGCCTCTATACCTCTCTGGACCGCAGCGTCCTCCACAGAGTTGACAGGCTGAGAAAGGGCAGTGGCTTGCCCAAATCTGTCAGGCCCCACCATATCAGCAGGTGCTGGCCTGCTTCTGGTGCCATAGCTGTACCTCTGCCTGATGGCTTCTGCTGAAGCCAGAGAGGCTGCTCTGCTGGCTGGAGGTGCCAGGAGAGTAGCTCTGCCAGGACTCCCTTTCAGTGACACCAGAGTGGATGAATTCCCTGGCTCCCTCACCCTCCTATGGGACAGCTCTGAGGCGTGTGTTCTATACCACCAGCTCCAGGACTCCCCAGTGGGATTAAGCTCTAGTTGCCTACAGTATAACCAGCTTGATGAGTTGCCTTCCTTCTGTGTCTCTCGCCCACTCCTCAGCCTGGGTTTCTTTACACTGACTACTGGTGCCTGCAGCCCCGTCATGGGGGTTGCTTCTGAGAGAGCCTGTGCTAAGGCCGTAGCAGAGCCCCGGGCACTATGGGTCCAGTGTCTGGGGACACAGACCTGTGAGCCATTGTTGCTTGTCACGCTCCTGCTCCATCAGGTGCTGTGTGGCCTCATCTGCCTGTCGCTGCCGCTCTCCCTGCTCCTGCTTCAGTGCCTGCTCCAGCTCGCCTACCTGCTTCCTTAGTCCATCCTTCTGCCTCTCAGCCTCCTCCAGCTGGGCCCTAAGGGGCCCAACAAGCTGAGTGAGGGCCCCCACATGCTTACTGAGGCGCGTCAGGTCTTTGCTCTGCTCTGCCGCCCAGTGGCCCATGGTGGTGGCTGTCAGTGGCCTGAGCCCCATGCTGTCCTGCACCAGCTGCTGGAACTGGCCTAAGGACGAGGGCAAGTTCTGGCTCTGACACAGGCTGATGACCACCTTGCCCACTTCCCACAGGCTTCCCTGGACGCTGGTGCATGCATCACAGGGCACCAGGGCCGTCTCCACGGTCTGGGAGTGGATGCTCCTATTGTTCTTGATGGTCTTGGCTGGACATTGCAGGGATACTCTGGCGGGGAGGCTGTCTGGCTCCTGGCAGGTCTGGAGCAAGCCTGGCATTGGGGAGGGGGGCTTGATGAACTTGACAGTCACAAATTCAGGGCTCCTGGCTGGCTCGCCCTTGGCTGTGGGCTTGGAGGTGAGGGTCTCCCCTTGGTTTACCCTTTTCTGTGGTCAGGAAAAGAAAGGGAAAGCAGATGAGGGAGACAGGCCTGGGAGGTGACCAGTTTCCTGGGGATATTGTGACAGCCTCTGCTGATACTCAGATCCTCAGATGTTATCTGACACCAATGTGAATGAGAGAGAGAACCTTCTCCTTCCTTTCTGCTGCCCAAACTTACTAAGCCCAGGCCCCCTCTCTGCTGCCCCCTGCCCCAGGCTCCATGTAGTTACATGGCACTAGGCATCTAACAGTGAAGCTGCAGCTGCCAGTTACTGGGTTCTTGCCTAATGGACTCGGTTGCTGTCATGTCACCATAGGTGTTCTCAGTTTTCCTTTCTTCCCTGTTATGGTGATGGTGGTCCTTCTCCCACTGGGGATTTGTGAAAATTATGAGATAAGCCATAACAAATGGGGTTAACATTAACAGTATTACCCAACAGCACCCCGAGAGGTAGGGACTGCCATTATTCCCACTGTACAGATGAACAAACTGAGGCTCAGAGTAGGTAGGGACTTTTTCCAAGATCCCATAGCATAAACAGCAGAGCCAGGTAGCCCAGACATGACCCCCAAGGCCTGCCTTGCTAACTGCACACTGTATTTGGCATTGATTGGGAGGCTCCAGAGTTGGTACTGTTTCCTTCAGGAAGCATGGGGCCAGCAAAGAATGTGGTACACACATGGTGTGCAAGGAAGCTGGAACTGGGGCAGGTATGAGGGTGGCCATGGTTGGGGAGTAGGGGGTAGCCAACCCACCTGGGGGGCTGCCTTCTGGTAGAGCATGCCCAGCCTCAGTAGGCTGTTCCAGAAGCGCCGCACTGTGAGCCCCACAGACATGCAGGGCCCCACGGCCTGGGGGGAGGGCACCGTTTGCTCTGAACCAAGGTTCTCCAAGTAGCTGGCACAGCTCTGAAGCAGCAGCAGGAGCCTGTGGGCAGAGATGGCGGGGTCAGCTAGGTTAGAGCCTAGTGCCAGCATGCCTGCACACCATGCAACTAGCAGCCTTTGGCTCTGGGGTCTTGGGGGGCCTTAGAATATGCTCTGCTGGACCAGCCTCAAAACCAATCCAAGAGTTACTTCCTCTAAGAAGCCTTCCCTGAGAGCTGAGCTTGGGGGCCCCTTCCAGGCCTCCTGGGTATCAGCACTTCTGCCTGGCTGTTCCCCATTGCACTGGGATGTTCTGGGAGACTGGGTCTGCTTCAGTTGTGCTGTGAGTGCTCAGAAGGTGCTGGGTGGGTGGCTGCATTACAGCACATGGCTCAGAGCCTTTACCTTACAGAGGACAAAGCAGAGACCCTGAGAGGAGAAAGGGCCTGCCCACAGCCTCAGGGCTAGCATGCAGGGCAGGGGGGCCCTGTAGTTTCCTGATTCTAGTCAGGATCTCTTGCAGGGCAAGCTGCTCCTGTGACATGGGAAACATGAAGACAGCTGGGTGTCTACATTAACTTCAAGTCTTCAAAATTAGAGTTGGGCTATGTTTAAGGAAGAGAGGCATTAGAAGGATAAGCCTGAATCTGCATGGGAACCAAGCTATTTTAAAGGAAGAGGAATTGTGTTTACAAAGCATACTGGGCAGGTAAGCTACATTGTCTTGTAGTAGGACTCCAAGTGCAGTAGGGTCATTCTAAACCCACTGGGGCCTTGGGCAGAGAAGGCCTGGGGAGGAAGCACCAATTGCCTCTGGGGCCCGCCCCTCTCTGGGCCAGGGTGTTTTCCTTTGTGAATGGGGGGACAGCTGTGCCTGCTGCAGTGCCGGGCAGCACTGGGGGGTAGGAAAGTGCCTGGAAAGAAGACAGAGCACGGCCTTGACAGAGGGGGTGGAGAAGACATGTCAGCAACAGCTTCCCCAGGGGCATAGATAGACTGACTGGGTCTTGATGGATGAGTGGGGCTTGACCAGACCAGGAAGGGCTGGGCAGGGGCACTCTAGCAGAGGGCAGAGTGTATGTAAAGGCACCGAGGAAGGAAGGTGTGTTCTGAGCCTTTCACAGCCTCCAAATAATGCTTTCATACTGGGGGGTTCTTCTAAGTGGTTACCCTGGTTCTTTGGCCCCAGGCAGGTCATCCCCAGACTACTGGTGTCCTTGCCTGTCAGGGGCCCCATGACTTTGTATGTGTATGGGTTTGGAGCACAGGGAGCCTGGGTTGCGGGCCCCAGGAAGTGGAAACCTGATGACCATGTTATATTCAATGATAGTGTGGAAGTGGAGGGGCTGCAGGGCAATCCTCTGGCCTCTTCCCAGCAGGGACAAAATCTGGAAAAACACATCCCATGTCTGACCCTGTGACTCAGAGAGAACAGCATAGCCCACAAGACACCAGGAAGAAGAGCCTGGGATGGAAACTTTGAGCAGCAGCTGTGGTGTCCCTGAGGCACAGAAACTCTGAGGAAGCAGCTGACAGGAGCTGGAAGGGAGCCATCAGAGGGGCGGGGTGGGGGTGGAGGTGGCACTGAGGGCAGGTACTACAGGAAAGCACATGACAGAAGGGATCACAGTGAGGGCCTTGAACTGACCCGCCTCCTAACAGGTACTCAGTTAAAGGTGCTTATTGTTACCAATGTGATCTTTGCTGGAGGGGGATCCCAAGGCTGGTCTACTGGTTTAAGGAGGATGACAGCATCCCGAGATCACCAGGCTTGGTGGAGGCCCTCACCTGTCGATGACCAGCTCCAGCAGGACAGCATGGGACAGCTGCGTGAACTCAGGGTCACCTGGCACATGGTCATAGTGCTCTAGCAGGGCCACCATGTCCAGGTCACAAGCCACACGGTCAGGGAACTTCCAGGAGGGGAAGTGCACAGGCCCAGCGCGAGAGAACACGTCCACAATGGCGCCCTGCAGGTCGGTAAGGTCCTTGCGCAGGCTGTCCATACAGGACTGGCTGCCCAGCAGGTGCGCCATACTTGTGGCTCCTGGGGTGAGCAGAGAAGATCCCCATCAGCCAGAGCCATGTGGCTGCTGCTAGAGGAAACTTTCTTTCTTTTTTATTTTATTTTATTTTTTTCTGAGAGAGAGAGACAATGTGAGCAGGGGAGGGTCAGAGAGAGAGGGAGACAGAGTCTGAAACAGGCTCCAGGCTCTGAGCTGGCAGTCAGCACAGAGCCCGATGCGGGGCTCAAACCCACGAACCATGAGATCATGACCTGAGCCGAAGCCCGACGTTTAACCGACTGAGCCACTCAGGTGCCCCTAAAGGAAATGTCCTAAAACCCTGATCTGCCCCATTCTCCTAGGCCGAAAGTCCAACCTAGACCCTAGGGAAAAGTCTTTCCCAGGCCTGCATCACAGGCCCTTTGGTACCTGCTTTTGGGAGACTTCACCAAAGTCCCTCTCATCCACCCTACGCCATGCCCACACTGCCAATTCCATAGCTCCAGGAGTCCCTCCAAGGGCCTGTATCTGCCAGACCCCTGCTAAAGGCTGGGCAGATACAGCTATAAACTAGAAAGTACCTACAGTCCTTCTCTCCCTGAGCAAACCACTGAATAGGCAACTGACACCTAAAAGAGAGTGTTAGTAGTTACAGCATGACAGGAAGTGCTGGATCATGCTGGGCCACTGTCAGCTCCTGCCTGGACCCCTGCAGCACCTTCCAGCAGGGCCACGGGTCTGACCGCTCCAACTGACGCACTTCAGCTCTAGAGATCTGGGCCAAACCCGACCTGAGCATGTCACACAGGCCAACACCCCTCAGGACTCCCTTGGGAGAAAGGCCACCTCTGGCCATATCCCTCTCCCACCGCCATACTCTGCATCTCAACCACCATCAGTTCCAAACAGCAGTTCAGGTGCCGGCACTCATTTCTAAACCTGGGCCCGATCCGTCCCTCTGTGGGTGTCATGCTTTCCCCATTCAATTCCCATCACCTCGCTAATTCCTCTCATCCTTCAGGCTTCCTGGGTATCACCTCTAACAGGAAGCCTTCCCTGACCACCCTCCAGGGCAAGCCACCAGTAAAAGTGCTCAAGCAATAGTAAGCATTATTCTTGTAATTACTATTAGCAGTAGCAACAGCAAAGACCATCCCTGTCTGGAGCCACTGCCTGCCTTCTATATGTCCCCTTTCCCACTGCAGCCCATACAGAATGCTTCTTGCCCATCTCTGGAATCTGTGGACATCTTTGAAGACAGTGATGAATGGTCTCTGATCCTTGACTCAGAACGTGGAGAAGCATGACAGTCCAGTGGCCCCTTCAGTGTCATCGCACACCCTTCCAGTTTCACCCTCTCCTCTCTGTTCAGAGGGGGGCAGCCCTGTTCTTCCCCACCCTGCAGCAGGGTCTCTTGTCCATTGTTGGTTTCTCAACAGCAGGAAGCACTTCTTTGTAGCATAGCTCTTCCCTTCCCTGCTTGGACAGTATTTAGGCCATGGTTGGTTTCCCTGATCTCTAGCAAGTCCAGGCCTGGTGGAGAAATTTCTTTTCCTCCAACCTATTTGTACCCCAACCTCACTCATCTCAGAAAATGACACTCCCTGCTATATGCAGCTGGACATTTCCTTATATTCCCTTCCTTTACCCCCACAACCCAGTGCCCAGTGCTGCCAATCCTGTGTCCAGACAGACCGCACTGAGAACCCTCCCCTGTGTTTGTCAGTGCCGCTCCACACTCCCTCTTCTCCCCAGACCACCGCCACAGCCTCCCTTAGAGGTCGCCCTCATCCCTCTGCCCAGCACCACCTCGTCCATTCTGAATGTGGCCAGAGTAATCATTTAAAAGGCAACTCACTCCCTGGCTCAGAGCCCTTGAATGGCTTTCTATAGCATAAACACTGGAACACTTTCTTGGGCTCTGTCCTGTGTGGTCTGTTCCCACCTCAGCATTTTACCATCCAGAATGTGCCCTCACCTCCTCATACTTTCTCTAGATAAGACACCTTCCTTCAGGTCCCCAGGCCAGGTGAATTTACTTGTTACACATTCTCAGAGCATTCTGTTCTTTTCCCTTCTAGCATATGCCACACTGGCACTGAATTATTATATGAATAATTATTTGCAGTTAGCAGTCTGTCTCTCTACAAGTCCATGGACTGTCTTTTGAGTTCACTGTGGTATCACCTGGTCACTGGGGCTGAGGGACCTGAGAGACTGCTTGTGCCCACAGCTCATGGGATGCTCGAAGGCACCAAGGGGCGATTCCTGAGGGCCGAGCTGGCCTCTCTGGCCTCCCAGAGGACTTGGGTCCTGTCCTCACCTCTGCACAGGTGCCTGCCTGTGAAGCTGAATGTCTGAGTATATCTGGCCGTCAGATTAGCCTGTGGGCTCTGGGGCTCAGGGTCAGAGGCTCATCCAGGTGCTGGGCTTCCTGTATCCAGTGCAGGGCTGGCCCCAAATAGCTCTTCAGTCCCTGGGAATGGATAAAGGCAAGAGTGAGTGGGCACTGAGGGAGGCTTCCTTGGGGGAGGGGTGCAGGAAGGACCCTGTCCCAAAAGAAGGGGAGGGGGCCCCAGGCTGGAGGAATGGGGTGAGGGATGGCACTTGTGGGGTCACCTACCTTGAGCCTGAGCACAGAGATTGTACTTTAATGGTGCTAGGCCCTGACCACAGGACCTACTGTGTGTTACCTCCTGAATCTACCTTCTTTATACAGATGAGGAACCCAAGGCTCTGGAAAGTTAGGGAGTTAACCCAAGGTCACTCAGGGAGGTAGGATTCTTGGGTTCAACATCTCTGCCCTGTCTTCGGGCCATGCTGCTTCTAGAGCAGCACTGTCCAAAAGAATTACAATGCTAGCCTTATATGGGATTTTAAATTTTCTACTAGCCATAAAAAAGTTAAAAAAAAAACAGGTAAGTTAATTTTAATTATATATTTTATTTAACCTAATAAACCCCAAATACTCTCACTCCAACATGAAATCAATATAACACTATTAAGGAGATCATTTTACAGTCTTTTTCACATTCAGTCTCAAAATCCAGTGTCTATGTGACACACTACATTTCAATTTGGACCAGCTACCATCTTCAAATGCACTACCACATGGACTGGTGGCTAACGTACTGGACAGTGCAGGTATAGACGGTCAGATCCTGTGTGTTCATGAAGCAAATGGTGACTAAGTACCTATGAATTCTGGGCACTGTGTCGAGAATACAGACAGAGAAGGACACACAGAGCCCTGTCCCCAGGAACCACCTCTGAGGATCTCTGAGGCCTTTGGTGTGTCACCTCTGTCAGTTCCACCCTCAGGGCAATGAGTATCCACCCTAAAACACTCATAAACACACACAGGCCCACATCCTGCACACGGATGTTGCTGCGGTGACTGCCTCTCATGAGATATTGCCAACTGTGAGATTTTATATCCCCAAGGAATGAGGCAGAAACAAACAGAAAAAAATAGACTGAAACCTTCTGGGTCTCCTTCCTGGAATGAGAGGGAGGAAATAAATAAAGTAAGCAATCCCGTCCTGGCAGGAGGCATATGCAGGTGGCAAAGCACCTGGAACTCAGGAGCTTGCTTCTGAAGACATCAAGAAACATTGACCTGTTCATCCTCAAATAACTATAGCTGCCATCTGGGGCCAGCTGAGATACTAACTCCTGAACTCTGGTTCTGATAAGTAGAACAAATGCCAAAGCATCAGTAATACGTGAAAGGAAAACACAACACTGTAAAATATCCAAGGTTACCACACATTGTTTTCTTCTGAACACTAGGGATTTGCAGTTATAAATGTGTTTTGAGTACCACCTAGGTGTGTCAAGCGAAGGAGCATTTGACATGGGCTTTCTCTGTAATCCCTGGGTCTTAAGTGGAACCTATAGCTTGAAGATGCCAACCCTGCACTGACTGTTCCTGAGATCATACAAGTGATGGCGCTAATTGTGCCAACACTGCCCTGAGGAAGGAGAGCAGCTAACTCTGCCTCTGAGTTCCCTCATGCTCAAGGTGGACTTTTGACTTGCAGAGAAGGGAAGGGGCCCTCCACTCCCATTCAACATGCAAGCCACTTCCTTGGCTGAGCTATAGGATCCTACCCGTCTGGTAAAGATTATGCCTACCTCCCAGGCGCCTGGTTGGCTCAGTTGGTTAAGCAGTTAAGCGTCCGATTTTGGCTCAGGGCATGATCTCAAGGTTCTTGGGTTTGAGCCCCATCTTGGGCTCTGTGCTAACAGCTCAGAGCCTGGAGCCTGTTTCAGATTCTGTCTCCCTTTCTCTCTGCCCCTCCCCTGCTAGCATTCTATCTCTGTCTCTCTCAAAAATAAATAGTTAAAAAAAAGATCATGCCTACCTACGTCCTGGCCAGTATCTCTGCTGAGATTCAAGGTCACCACTAGGAAAACACTTTGGAAATTCTAAAAACACCTATATATTCCAGTTGTCAGCCTCTGACTCCAGATTGCTAATTGCCTGGATCCCTGGGGACAATAAAGGGATTGAATGAACATAAAGGAATAAGTAACTGCACTAGTAAAGGAATAAGAATGAGTTTAGATTTCCATTCCACCAACTCAGAATTTCACTGTCTTTGTCTGTAAATAAGTTTCTCTAAGAAATAAGTGACGTAAGAGGCGCGTGGGTGGCTCAGTCGGTGAAACGTCCAACTTTGGCTCAGGTCATGATCTCAAGGTTCCTGGGTTCCAGCCCCGCATCGGGCTCTGTGCTGACTGCCAGCTCAGAGCCTGGAGCCTGTTTCAGAGTCTGTGTCTCCCTCTCTCTCTGACCCTCCCCTTCTCACGCTGTCTCTCTCTCTCTCAGAAATAAATAAAACGTTAAAAAAAAAAAAAGAAATAAGTGACGTAAAGCATGTAGTGTTTGGCACAGGGTCAATAAATTCCAGCTATTCTACATTAAGAATAACAACAATGACATTAACCAGCTATGGAGTGTGTGCGTGTGAGAGAGGGATGGGGTAAGACACTAGGGAGGGCATCTCTTCCTATCCTGCCTTCCTATCCTTCACAGTTGAAACTGTTAAACTATCCAGACAAGGGCAAATGCCGGCCTGGATTCCGGACCTGGAGGGGCGGGGGGTTGACGGGACAAGGAGGACAGTATCTCAGAAGAGGAAGTAAAGGGCGGGATTCCAAGTGAGCCTCAGGGAAGCTAGGGAAGTGGTCAGCAGGAACGCACTATTGGGAGAAAACAATGGAATTTAAAGAGGTCTTGATTTGAGATGGTCTGTGGGGCTTGAGAGAGGGACTATGGAAGGTAGAAGGTGGAACCTAGGAAAGGCAGTCCCACGGGAAAAGGGACGGGTGGGAATTAGGGATTGGGACTTGGGAAGGGGCTCTAGAAGAGGTGGACCTGAAGCGAAAGAGGAAGCAGCCTCGAGGGGAATGGGCTCTCCAAACTGACAGGCCAATGGGAGGGAGCGAGGGACCCACCTTTGGAGTAAAGGAGAGGGGGCCGAGGGTCGTGGGGTGCGGGAGGAGAGTGTCCGGCGGGTGATGTAGGACGTCTCCCCAGTTTCCTGCGTTGTAGCCTCAGCCCCTGTGTCTGGTCGGCTCATGGAACTGTCTCCCGCGCGCCTGCTGCTCCTGGGATCGCTCACAAATCCTAGCCAAGTGCCTCGACCGCTGCCATGGCAACGGCGTCTCGCGCAGGCAGCTCTAGGAAAGAGACAGGAAGTTGCATCACGAAAAAGGGGGGGTCCCGGAAGTGCGTCAGCCTCTCCTCCTGGGCTACGAGTCTCTCGGTCGCCGCCATCTTGCGAGCTTGTTGTATCGTCCGTGCGGGTAGCTGCTTTGACGCAGCACCGCTCACCGTCAACGAGGCGGACTGGCAGCCCTGAGCGTCGCAGTCATGCCGGCCGGACCCGTGCAGGCGGTGCCCCCGCCGCCGCCGGCGGCCACCGAGCCCAAACAGGTACCGCGACCCCCGCACCTCAGTCGGCAACCTGAGCCTCGGTCTGGGCCCTCCCCTCCGGCGCGGCTGCTCTTCACTCGTGCAGAGGAAGAAGCGGCCACTTACGAGGGCTTGGAGGGACTGCAAGTCCCAGGAGGCAGCGCGCTTGCGCTGCCTTAGGCTAGCGAAACCAGCGTTCTTGGAACAGTGGTTCTCAAAATACGGTCCGCGGACCAGCAGTGTTAGCATCACCAGGGAGTTCATTAGAAATGCCAAAACGAAATGCTAATACAACTTTAGCAAGATCTCAAGGTGATTGGTTAAAGTTTGAGGAACACTGATCTAGCCCACCCTCAGGTTTTCAGTGGTAATTGGGCCGACCGTCGTCCCCTCTCACCCCGGCCTCTGGCGTTTGCACAGTAATTCTAATTTCCCAGCCTGTAGGATGCGTTTTTGGTAATTCTTAGGATCTCCTCTTTGCTTACTCTTAAGCCAGACACCGTGCCAGGTTCCGACTGAACCAGAATGAATGGAGCACAGCTAGTTTATGAAGTTCACAGTCCTAGTGGGGAGACAGATCTAAATGAATTCTCAACAAATATTTATTGCTTTGATCACCATAAATGATACCAGCCAGCTCTTAAATCAGCTGAGAGGAAAAGAGGTGTGTAAATCATGGCAATATGGTGTGATATGCCCGGTAAGTATCAGATGTAAAAGGAGATTGTAATCTAATCAACATTTCTTTGATGGGGTGAAGGAGAAATTAAAGTAGGTGGAGCCCACCTCCGTGTTAAGTAAATTGCTTTTAGAAAGATGTATTAGTAGTTTGTCAGATAGGTGATTGGAAAAGGGAAATAACATCCTTTATTCATGCAGCAGACATTTTTTGAGCACATATGGTGTGCTGATTACTGCTTTGGGTTCAGTATACAGCAGAGTACATGACAGAAGAGGTCCATACCCTTACTACAAATATTTAAGTATGTCCAGTATCCCTTGTATTTTCCCAGTCACTTGGGGAAAAGTAAACAAGGTAATACTGGATAATTGTAAAGACACCAGGGTAGGAATCAGATGATGTCTCTGATCAACAGTAAATTAAAAAGTGTGATTCAAGCATAGGGTTGGAAAGAGGTGGCAAAAGATGCATTTTGGGAGATTTGAACTTTTCTAGTACACAATGAGGAGAAAGGGAAATTTTAAGCTGGATAATGACATCTATGTGTTTTAGAAATTCTGGTAGGCAGGTTGTGATGAGAATTGCTAGGAGCACAGTTATTCAAAAGATGCTGAGGGCCTGACTTAGATTGGAGTGGGGGAGAGGGCAGACGGGATGGGCAAGCTCAAGTCACAAAATGGCTGGTGGTGCAGACTCTCCAGCTAAAGTGATGTGTTGGAATTCTGGGTCTGTTTTTTGGTCCAGTTAAGCTTTACATTCCTCAGTTTTGTTATATGTAAACAATGGTGTATTCACATCATAAGACTCTCATAAGGGTTAATCTATTTAAAGTTCTTAGAAAATTATTTGGAACCTACTACATGCTTGGTAAATGTTATCATCGAATGTGGAACCTGAGGAAGGGAGAGGAGGCCCATGTTTCTGGCCTGGATGACTGAGTGCATGGTTAGCCATTCATAAGGAAAAGTGGTTAGAGATGAAAGTGCCCAGGAGTCAGTTGGATCTAGCGTTCCGTGGCACATAAGAGTGATCTGGGACATCAGTTTGGGTGGGGTTGTTCAACCTAGAGGTAGTAGGGGAAGTGGAGGATGTGGTTGTGAGTGCCTGAGGACAGTGTGAATATGTTGGAGAACAGACTTTTGGAGAGCCCTAACATAGGGCAGGAGGTGAAACAGGAGCTAGGAAGGAAACTTGGATGGAATGGTGAGCAAGAAGGAAAGACAGATGAGAATGGGACCTGGGAGTTGAGGAGTAGAGAGTTTTGTGAAGGCATGGTCACTGGTCACGTGATCAGATGGCTACTGTATTTGGCATTCTTTTACTTTGGCAAGAGCACTTGAAATGAATGAGAGGTGAGGAGGTAGGAATGGCAAGACAAAGAACTCAGGATATTTACCAGAGGAAGAGGGGAAGAGGACAGCAGCAGAAAAGAATGTGAAGGCAGCGGTGCTGTTTTTTTTTTTTTTTTTTTAAGATGAGAGACTGACCGTTTGTTTACTAAGGAGAAGCAGCTGGTGAAGAAAGAATATTGGAGCTTATGGGGCATTTGATGTTGGGTATTCCAGTGGGGTTTCACAGAACATTTGTGCATTGAGTGGTGGTTAAGACTGGAATAGATGAAGAGGAAAGGGGCATAAGGAGCTGCCAACAGCGAGTTTCCCATTTCTTTATTCAGCAGACAGTCATTAGATATTCCATGGCAGGCACATCCCTAGGTGCAGAAATGGCCTTCTGAATTCTGGGAGATGGCTTCTTAGAATATGATCAGATTCCCACCCCAGTCCCCTATCTTAATCACCTAGGCAGTTGGTAAAAATGCAGATTCCCGGTGTCACTGAGACCACTTGGCTATGGGGGAACCAAGGAGGCTGCTCTTTTCACTGGTTCCCCAGGAGAATCCCACTCAAGTATAGTGCAGTTAAGAGAACCCCTTTTCTGGAGCAGAGGGTCCTAACTCGAGGAAGGTCCAAGGGAGAGAGTCTACATTCTCAATAATATTTTAGAGAAGTTCGACAGTGGGGATCCAGTCCCAAATCAGGAACTTCAAGATATTATTTTTCTTTTCTTGTTTTCACAGCCCACAGAAGAAGAAGCTTCTTCAAAGGAGGATTCTACTCCCTCGAAGCCAGTGGTGGGGATTATTTATCCTCCTCCAGAGGTCAGGAATATCGTGGACAAGACTGCCAGCTTTGTGGCCAGGTAACGTTAGCTGCTTCTGTGCTGTCAGCCTAGGCCTGTTAGCTCATCTAACACCACAACCTGGTGGTGAGATAGGCAGTGGGCAAGCTTGGTGTCTCCAGCACAGCATGGCAGGGGCAAAATGTGAATCACGTTCAGCCCCAGAGTCACCAGGAACCTGTGCTTCCAAAATGGGCCTAAGGAAGTGCCTAAAAAGCTGCTTTGTCAGGGAGAGTATGTGTGTCTGTGAGCTGCTGACCTGAGGAAAACAAAGAAAGGAGTTGATTGTTCTCATTATGCAAGAACTGTGCTCAGAGCTTCAACTGACCCATCTGCAAAATGGAATAAAATGCCACCGCAGAATTGTTTTAAGGCAGGAGAGGAGGAGTGGGACTGAGTCCAGTTCACGTGCATTATGTATGTGTTAGCTATATTCATGGAAGGCATGGAAATCAGTCCGAGTTCCTCTTCCTCTTCTGCATCCTTTAAACACACTCCCACTATACTCTGGTTTCTCTTCAGATCGTAAACACACTCCCACTTCCTCAGATGGAATCATCTTGATGGCTACTTGACTCCAAAGGTCAACACGTCCCCTAGTTTAAAGTATTTTGGTAGCCAGCAGGCCACATGCAGCCTACAGAGCTCTTGTTTTTCCCCATAGTAAAACTAGAATTAGTTGCCACTGTTTAAAAATGAGGAGATTGCACAAAAAATCTGGGTTTCTGGCTTCTGTGGATGAAGTGGACAGCTCATTGCATGGAAGCAGTAGCTGGCCTAGAATGGACTCCTGCCCTCAGTCAGGGCATGTACTCCAGAGGGCCACATCTTGACCCCAAGGCAGCATCCCCATCATAGTACATCATTTAATACAGGGCTCCTTCCTTTCCTAACCTCCTAATATAATGCAACATAGAAGTTACTCTGCTTGATGTCTTTCACTTGTCAGGCCCCATGCAGATTCATATTATTACATTTCAAAGGCTTTGACTAACTTGGGTAATGTGTTAAATCTGCTCTGTGCTTGATTGAACAATGTCAGATTTAGGGCAGTAAGTGTTGTGTTTATGATAAATGTTTAATGTATCATAGCAACGCTCATACTTCTCTCTTCCCCCTGATAACTTAAAAACAGAATAAATAGGAAAAGGGTGTTAGAGGAAGAATCACCACAGTCTCACTACCAGAATAGTTTCTACCAGCTGTTTTCACTTTCCTGTTTCTTTCTGGGCCTTGGCGTCCTTTTTTTAGACCCTTTAATACTAGTAGATACTTTCATATCCTGCTTTTCCCTTTTGTGTTGTGTTATAAGCCTTTTCCCGTGTTGCTCTGTGGTCCCTTGATGCTGCGCCGTCCTTGATACACCATGCTGAGGTGACAGGCCTTTCTGGACTTGGCTGTCTCCTCTGTTTCCCTTCAAGGTTGTTTCCAACATTTCAATTTGGCAAATGAAGCCGTGGGGAAATCTGAGCATTTTCTCTTCTTTCTAGATTGTTTCCTTAGAATTCTACGTGGCACATTACTGGCTGAAAGAGGGTTTTTCAAGATTTTCTGAAACATTTTGCCAAGTAGCTTTCCAATAATTTTGTGCCAGCCTTTGCTGCCATAGAAATAAGAGTATCCACGCTTTCTTAAAAATAAAAATGTATTCATCCATGTTTCTAGATTTATTTTTGGCTAAGGTGATTGCCTTGTAGGCATCTTTAAAATCTGTGGACTTGCTTTTGTTTACATTGCAATGAGGGAACAGACCAGCATCATCTCACTGTGGGATAAGGAAGCATGCAGGACCTTCTACTTCACTTCTCTTGGGTCACACATGTTGATTTGAGGGAGCAGACAGTAAAAAAATCACTGAGTATG